CATATAGATTGCTTATATTGGGTTATATAATAAAACAAAAATTAAACTTACGTGGTGAATAAGAGCGTGATCGAGATCTGTCATAACGACCGCGACGGCGATTGTAGTACGGGCTAGGTGAACGTCGATAGCTTCCTCTATAACTACTGCTTTATGAAAAAAAAATAATTGTATTTTGTCTTTTTAAGTTTTTTTTTTAAATAAATTATTATTATATGAACTATTTATCAATAATCAATAAATGAACTTACTCTCTTCTTCTAGGCCCATCCCATCCTCTATCATGTAGATGTGTAGGTTTTCCTAAATATATTCCTGGTGTTGGTGTATGAGCTCGTTGCGTAATTGAATAATCTACCCTCATTCTTCGACCATCAATTTCCATTCCTGCACATTGTTCTTTTGCTACTTTAGCATCTTCAAGTGATTCAAAATATACAAAACAATATCCTTTAGAATGTCCAGTCTAAAATATAAATATTTTCATTGTTGTGTTTTAAGTAAAATACATAATGTAAATATAAAATATTTTATTTATATAAAATAAAATGTGACCAGAGCCCTTTAATGTTTTACATTAACTTAATGTATGAACATTCTAAATCTCTGGTATAATTTATTATATTCCCTTTTTAAATTGTCAAGGGATAATATTAATGTTATATTTTTCTTTAATTATGGTACATATATTTTAAAATAATAATTATAATATAAATATTATATTAAATTACCTTTGCATCAATTACAACTTGTATACGTTCAACAGGACCATATTTGGAAAAGATGTGATGTACTTGCTGTTCGGTTGTAAAAATAGAAAGTCCAAATACACCTAAGCATCTGGAAGGAGAGGGATTTTCCCTGTTTCCAACATGACGTCGTCTAGATGACATTGGACTGCGGGAGTGTGAACGATAAATGGTCCTATCACATTCGCGAGAGTAACGAGAACGGAAGTATGATCGAGATCTGCTTCGGGAATATCGCGCAAACCTGTGAGTAGAACGACTACGGCTGCGACTACGACTGCGACTACTACCACGATGACCTGCACTGGCATATTTGCTGCTACGATAGGACTTTCTTCCTCTTGACACTGAACGGCTTCGTGATCTTGAATATTCTTTTACTGGTCGGTGCGATTCTTTACGCTCTCGTGATTTACGTGATCTTGAATGTGAACGCGAGTCTCTTAAACCACCATCGGCTGTTCTTGGTCTTCTAGGACTTGCACTACGACTACTACTTCGCTAAAAATAAAATGTTTATAATTATTTAAAAATTATTCTATTTTTTTATTTTTAAAAATACAAATTAAAATAATAAAATATAAATAAAACAAAAATTTACATTACTACTATATATTAAAATATATACTTCAAATAAAAAATTTATAAAATTTTTGTTATATTCAAAAGCTTAACCCTTTTTAAACTATATTTAAAATATTATTTTTAAATAATAAATGTATCGTACAAAAATAAAAAAAAATTATGATATCAATATTAATAAATTTTCGAATTATTAAACATTTAAGATTAAGAAAAAGAGCATTAAATCATAATATAAATTTATAACATAGTCGAAACGTTGATGGATCGATAATGGCTGTAACTAGCCGCATGTCGTTATGACGATGAAGTATATAAAATTATACATAAAATTATTATTTAAGAAAGAAAATTAAAAGAATTACCTCAATGTCACTCATTATGGAACTTTAAATATGAGTAAATAGAATAAATGTAGCAAAAACCGATCAAACGTTCAGAACAATGCGCTGTGGCGTCAGTATGCAAAAATGGCGTACAATCTTTGGACCGTTTCAGCGGGTAACAGCCGGAAATGATGATTCCAGGTGGTATACAAATGCGAAACATACTAACATCCGGTGTTGCCGGAGAAACGAAGATAAAAATTGAAAATGGCGATATATTTCCCGAAAGGCGCCAATTTAAATATAAACAACATATATAATTATAAATTACTATATTATGCTAACATTAAAATTAAAATGCTATAAAATATGAAATAATAAAAATTTATGAAATATATATTATTTATAATTTGACTTAAACTTTAAGTCTATTTATTAAAATTCATTCATAATATTAATAAAATGTATTAAAATATATAAAACTAATATATTTGTTAATTATATGTATTTATATTACAATAAAAATTGAATATAAAAAACATTTGAAAATTTAGAAAATGAAGGATTTAATAAGCTTTTCATTAAAATAAAATTTTTTATGCTTAACATATTTATGTTATGAGAATATAATTATTATACATTGTATTTTCTTTTAAGATTAAAATAATTTAAAAATATTCTAATATTTTTACATTTTAAATAAAAGAGATTTTTTTTATTTTAAATATAGAACAAGCATTTGTTTCTGTAAAACCGCCAGTAATGCACCTGCGCAGGAAGATGCGCGTGCTCTTTGCGTCTATAAAAACTGTTCACATCGCTTACTGCGGCAGAATCAGAAACGAGGAAGATTCTCCGGTAGTCAGTAAACCACTTTTCTGTCGTCAAACGGATCAAGCTTTTTGTGAGACTTGGATCGGTCACAAAAAGCGGGATTCGCTTTTCGCATAGGAATTGGCCTGTTAAGGAGCCAGTTTATATATATATAGAACGTTTGAAAATTGTGAGTAAAGGTAGTGACTTTTTTGATTTTGTGTAGCGGACGATACTGTGACCGGTTGGTCTATGCACTTCTTTATCATCGTTTTAAATAGAATCCTGTCAGTGATGAAAGTCGTCATGGACTTTCGGTTCTCGGTGAAATTATAATAAAGCTTAACCTTTGTATTTCGTTATTGAATTTTTTAAGCTTTACATACTAGAATTAATCAATGAATTTTATAACAATCATGGCCGCCAGCCGGTTTTCCTACCGTTTTATACTGCATAGATCTTGTGTTCCTCATTAACTACTTTACTAAAATATTTATAGGATTTTATTATTGAATATATTATGGATTCACATGTTAGTATAAATTATTTTATTTTTTACTTATTATATGATATATTAGATATATAAGAAGTAAATTGATAAAATATTTATTAATAGTATGATTTGACAAATCATTGAAAATCTATTCATTAAAAATATTTTTTACGTATATTTTTAAATAACATTACACATTTAAACAACAGATTTGAACATTAATAAATAAAGATAATTTTTAAAATTTTTGACATTTGATAGTTTTATTATTAATTAAAATTTCTTTATTTATGAAATATTTCAGTTGTATGAAATTTATGATTTAAAATTTAATAGAGATTCAATTGTTAAAAGAAAATATAAATTAAATTATATAGTCAAATCAATACTTTTATATTTAATAATTATATTATATAAACTATATTATTTTATAAATAAATAACACATAATTTTATCAGTTATTAAATTTTTGAAATTAAACATTTATTAGAAGGTTTATTATAATTTTAGGCTGTAGAAATGGAAGAAATTCATCAACCACAACAAGTTGGGCCTAATATGATGCCCAGTGTAGGTGGGGTTCCTAACCATTCAAATAATGTTAATCGGCGTAACAGAGTTCGATCATCATTACATAGTTTGATGATAGGAAAACGTCCAATAAGTGAGGCTGCTCAATTGGAGATGAAATCATTGTCTAACAAAACACCAGTTTCTATTCTTCAGGAATTGCTTTCTCGTAGGGGCACAACACCAAAGTATGAGTTAATACAAGTAGAGGGTGCTATCCATGAGCCTATTTTTCGTTACCGTGTTACTGTTGCTGATGTTGTTGGTTTGTATCTAATTTTGATAATACAATTTAGTTTTTAAATGAATTAATTTATGAAATTTTTTATTCATTAAGGGATTAAAGAATTATAGATTTTTTTTATTTGGATTTTTACTTATTTTTTTTATAAAATTAAATATGTATTTTATTAAATGAAAGTAATAAATGATAAGTATCTGATGATTGAAGCAGATCCAATTGTTTCAGCAATGGGGACTGGAAAATCAAAGAAAGAAGCAAAACATGCTGCTGCAAGGGCTGTATTGGATAAATTGTGTAGATTAAATAGTGAATCACCAGATTCTCCACTTCCAAATAGTATACCGGAGTAATAATTAATAACAATATATATTTTTTATATATTATAGTTTATATATTTCACTTAATTTATTTAATAATTAATTTTATATAGTTCTGAGAATTTGCAAGAGTTATCTGGATATGGAGAAGAAAAAATAATCACAAATCCAATTGGAGCATTACAAGAAATGTGTATGTCACGTCATTGGCCTCCACCAAAATATACAATAGAAAATGAAGAGGGTTTGCCACATGAAAGACAATTCACAATTGTTTGTTCTGTTTTAAAATATCGAGAAGTTGGTCAAGGAAAAAGTAAAAAAGTTGCAAAAAGACATGCAGCTCATAAAATGTGGCAAGCTTTACATTATATGACTACAGAAAATCCTAATATAGATGAAGATGAGGTAAGATTATTTTGTTTATTTATATTTAATTTAATAAATTATGTACTTAAATCATTTAAAATCAAATATCATTTTTTTTATATTTAGTTATATGTTTTTTATGTATTTAGTTATATGTAGTATTAACATATTGTTTTATATAAATTGTGTACTGTATGTATAACTTGTATGTGAATTATTTTTGTGTATGTGTGTGTATGTTTAGTGAAGTGGAAGTGATTTGCTACTGTAAGCAGTATTATGAAATATAAGCTACCTTTCTGATCACCCTAAATCTATAACGGATAATTTATGTTAAGATCTCAATTATGTGCAATCCATATGTGTATTTGTATTATAAATCATTAACACAACAGCATATATTTTCAACAATAACACGCTTGGATCATTTCCACTTCATTCTACTCTTAATGTAAGTGCAGTCATTGGTAAACTTCTTCCAATGATAAGCATGTAATTAAAATTTTACATATATTAATTGTCCGTTATAGGTTTTACAAAGAAATGCAAATGTGAGTGCCCGTTATGCTGATTTGAAAGGTAGCAAAATTTCAACACTGACTACTATTCATAGCCTTAAGGTTTCACAATTTCATAAAAGTTTGAAGTCATCCACTGGTGTTAAACTTTTTGAATTACAGGTTTGTAGTGTAATGAATTGAAGCACTACTAATTGTTTTTAAATTTTTAATTATAAGAAACTATAAATTTTTTGATTAAATTTTTAATTTTATTAATTTTGTTATATGATTTTTTCTGTTACAGAATACATGTTTGAATGATGGTGATGTAAATTTGGTACAGTTTTTGCAAGAAATTGCTTCAGAGCAGCAATTTGAAGTAACTTATGTTGATATTGAAGAAAAGTCTATCAGTGGTAAGTGATTAATTTTTTATATTATCAATTTTATTTAATACATTTTTATATTTAATTTATTGAAAATAAAATTATATATAATATGATGACAAATAATATAGAAACAAATAGATAACAAATTTTTTTTAAATATATGTTATATAAATATATTTATTTTTCTGTAAGTACAAGATCCAAAACAATGTCATTTTCAGATGTAGGAATATCTTCCCATATTTGTTCATTAAATGCCACTGCAATTAAATGTGGTTTGTTTTGTTGTTTCTTTAAACATAATTCCAAAAATTTGTCATAATAACCCATTCCATGTCCCAACCGTTTCCCTGATTGATAATATATATTATTATAATTTATATAATAATATAAGTTTTTTTTCTAGAAGAATTTATATAAAATAGATTTTACTTACCATTAGTAGTAAATGCAAGACCTGGTAAAAGTATTAAATCTAATCCACCTAAAATATCATAAATTTTATAAATTAATTTTATATTTCATTAATTATAATAGAAAGATTCATATATACAAATATTATTAATAATAACACTAATAATGTAAGATTATTACATTTATAATTAAGAAAAGTAAGATTATTATAATGTACATTTATAATTCTATAAATTAATTTTAAATCTTACCTGTTTCCAATGCATTTTCTCTATTTTCATTATAATTTGGTTGTTTAATATTCCATTTAGTTAATGGTAAAGTTTCATAATCTTCCATTGAAAATAATTTAACCATTTCCATTTCTTTTCCATTATATCTAGGAATAAATACTTCCTTTCTTGTTTCGAATATATGTTTTAATATTGGAATTGTATCAATTTCATTTTTTGTACTTAGATATAAGGAAATTCTTTTGCTGTTTTGAAATTGTGATAGAGAACATAGCTATAGATATAGAAATATATTTGTTAGGAACAACTTTAAATAAAAGTAAACATAACCTCTTGCATATATTATATATAAATTAATTATTTCTCTAATATACTTACTTTTTTAAATACTTTTATTGATTGTCTTTCTTTTTCTTCAATACTAAGTTGTGCAATAATATTTTTCATTTTTTTACGTAAAGCAAATTTGGCAGATTTTATTCCAGTCATGATTCTATATTTATATGCTGTATATATCCTTTGCAAAGAAAAAAGATCTTATATAACACATACATGACCTATGACATAATTATCATAACTTATCATATTTACATTATCATTTTTTAATTTTTCATTTAATTTATATTAAATATTATCTATAAATAATTTATCTATTATTTTTAAATAATTTATTATTTAAATTTATATTTTTTTAAGTATAATATATTATTTTTACATAATAGTTTTATGATGTTAAATATTTAAAAATCTTTTGGAAATATTTTTATTGATTTTTTGATATTATTTTAGTTATTACTAATTAATTATTTATTTAATTGATATGATTTTGAAATATTATAAGAAAAAAATAGTTATTCAGTTCTTAAAAATAATGTTACATAGAAATCAAATATTGATTGAATTTTTCAATTATTGATGAATGTTTCAATTTTATGTTTATGTGTGTTATAGGTAAATGCCAGTGCCTTGTGCAGCTGTCTACTCTGCCAGTGGCAGTTTGCTATGGTTGTGGTGTTACTAGTAAAGATGCTCAAGCTAGTGCTGCTCAAAACGCTTTGGAATATCTCAAAATCATGACCAAAAAGTGAGCCAGCGCTTTGCTCCTGCCAGCTGTCACTATTACCTGTAAATCTCATAATAATTTGCTGTCCAAAAACCAAAATAACAATACAGATTCAAAAATTTTATCAAACAATCAAGTATCAGATAAGGGTAAAAGCAATCAAAAACTTGATCACATGGGGAACAAAAGTAGATTATCAAAACCATCTATCAGAGCAATAAATACTACGATGGGGAATAAAGATACTACATTAAGTACAATCACTACATCAACATCAACTGTTACAGTTTCTTCAAATAGGATGAATTCATCTATAAAAAAGAACAGTGGAAATAACGAGAATTTAAAATCTAATGAACAACTAACAAAGAATACATCACTTGTAACCACAAATCAATCTAATTCTACTTTCAATACTGTAAGAGGTGTTAATACAACTTGTGTTGGTAGTAATGTTTCTCACGAGAGTACGTCTAAATCAAAAGATTATTCTACAAAAAAATTTTCCAATGAAATTGATTCAAAAATGAAAAATTATCAAATACAATCAGAATACAAAGAATCACCTGTAAGCAATCAAGATTACAAGGCAAGAAATAGTGCGAATATAAACAATTTATCATCAAGGTTCGTAAATCAATCTGTTCAAGCATTACATAGAGATAATCATGGAACTTCTTCCAATACACATCAATCTCGACCAGCATCACGAAATGATAACACTGCGTTTGCCATAGCTAGAAAAGCATTGGAGCAACAAAATTCGACATCGAAGACGACACCGATTAATTTTCCACCTTTACGTGCTCCACAGAGTATCGTCAATGTTCGTCATCCTTTTGTTACAGAAGCAAGAACTAAACATAATGATATCGATGGTCCAAACTCTAAATCGAAATTGAATATGGTGAGTTCTTTACAAAGTGGTGTGAAAGATCTTGATCACAGTAGGCAAACCTTTCATAGCTATGGCACGTCACAGATCGCTGGTATTCCCAATGTTCAAAATTTAAGTAATGTTACAGCGAATATATCACCTTATCCTAGACCGGAAAGTTTTCCCCAACCAACTGTTGCAAGTATGCTATTTCCTGATACTTCTCAGTTTCCTCAATCACCTCCATTTAATACAACACAAATTGGACAGCTAAATCAGTATCAGACATATGATCCTGGTAGTTTTGCAACTACACCAGTGAATGTGAACCCTGTAATTCCTCAATTTTCCGCAGAAAGTTCCATTCCATATCCACAATACGATAATCCTCCTCAATTCGTGCAACCGAATCATTATCCAACGGCGGATATAGCCAATAGTCAATATCAATACCAAGCAGCAAGTGTAGGACAACTACAGGACTCACCGATGTTTATACAAAGTTTACAGAGTCCTATTGCTGTAACAGATCAATATGCTGCTCCAAATTACGCTAGAACAGTCAGAGCAGAATTAATACCACGATTGAGGAGGCCACCAAGATTCAACAAGTAAAAATGATTTTTTTACATATACATATATATATTTTCGAATGAAAATTTGTCACAAATATAAGAAGAGTAAAATGAAAAATAAATTTAAATCAAATGATAAAGACATAAAGTCATGGAATATAATAATTTTTCAATAAAAATAAAATATTCACGTGTATCTTATGCATTGTTGCGAAAATTAGGAACTAATTTGCCAATCTACTTAGTCGATATGTTATATGGAGGAGATTTGGTAAAAATTATTTCAATTTTTGATCCATTTTGAAATAAATTTTAACCAGTCTATACGAATTGATGTGTGTATGTAAATGATAACTGGTATTTTGGCAAAAATATATATATATAGATACACGGTTAATGATCGTCATTAATAATCATTCGAAAAAATTTTGCCTGAAATGATTTTACACACATATATATACATACAAAAAAAAAAGCATTACGAAGTGATAAGAGAAAAAAATCATTTTGACTTGTTTCTATCATTCAATGTGACATGGCAGGGCATAGTGAGTTGAGCTCGATTATAATTTTATGACGTAATTTATCTAATATCATTGAATTTGAGAGAACGAATGAACGAGTGAGCGAACGAGCGAACGAGCGAGCGAGCGAGCGAGAGAGCGAGAGAGAGAGAGAGAGAGAGGAAAGAAGAAAAAAGAGGCAATTGCAACCAGTTTGTTAAATTGTACATAAATTATGACTATCGATAAGAATAGTTTCATTTCTATAAATATAGTATTTGCGAAAATGATTGTGGACAAATTTGTTTTCGTCGAGATTGATTAGTGAAAGCAAATTTGCTAGTTAGTGGAGCAGAATTCATAATCATGTTCCACGTAAAAATCCATATGAAAAAAAAAAAATTTATGAAATAGAAGGAAGAGAAAAAGAAAAAAAGCAAAATTATGATTATAATAATGATAAGACTTAGTTTTTAATGAATGGTATCCTACAAGCTATACTTTGCATAGAATTAGTGGAGGTTTTCCAATATTTGCATATTACTTAGCTTATTGCTATGTTTTTAATGTGCTTCACTATTTATATATGAGATGACGGTGTAACGATGTTCATTGCAATGCGATTTTATATAAAAACAATTCCTTTGTAGAAGAAAACAAAAAAATGTTAGATGTTTGAAAATTAAATAGTAAAGTAAACAAAATTTTTAGTCTTTCGAATAATTCGCTTAATTTGAACATCGTATCTCCATCAAACGTATGCACAGTGCAAACGTAGCTTTCGGCGATCCGAATATATCCGAGGGTGATCGCGATAAAGTAACGATATAATCTTTCAGTGGTGTATGTTTTTTCTTTAGTATGGTAGCTCATAAACTCATAAGCATCATATTAATACGCGTAAGGTTAATCGTTAAGAGAAATCCTCATTAAATACGCATCTCGTATTAAACAAAACTATATATATACTCGTGTGTATTAAATTTTTGAATTGCTAATGTGCGTTAACGTCACCGAATAAGACATTTATACTAAATGAAGAGAAGAATAATATTGCGTATGGACGTATATAGCGTCAAGAGGATACGATCATGAATTGAAAAAAAAAAAAAAAAATGGAAAAGAAAAAAAGTTAAGGAAAGATGAAAAAAAAAAA